TCCGGGTATGGGGCAGCAAAACTTACTGCTGGTTGATATGATGGTTGTGGGGCGAAGTGTTGAATTGGAGGTGGTGCATAAGATTGCTGGATTGGTTGAGGAACGGGAACGGGAACGGGATATGGTTGGGGAACAGGAACCGGATATGGTTGAGGGTAAGGTTGTGGTACTGGTACTTGAACTGGAACTTGAACTGGAACTTGAACTGGAACTGGAACTGGAACTTGTTGCACTATTGGTTGGGACATTTGAAGCTGTTGTAAAGGCTGCATTTGTGGGACAAATGAAGCGGCCATCGATCGTAGTTGACCCATTGGTGGGTATCCTTAAAGGAGTAGAGAAATGTTGCGACGTATGAATAAACCTACGTTGGAGATTGTAACTGAGCATATTAAGACGATATTTTACCTCCTCCGAAACCTTGAGCACCTCCGAAACCGCCTGGAACTCCGCCGAAACCACCTCCTAAACCACCTCCTAAACCACCTCCTAAACCACCTCCGAAACCACCTCCGAAACCTAAACAAAAACAATTTTAAAATTGTAATTGGTAAAAAGTTTAATGTGGCAATGCACTGAGATACGTAGCAATTTAGTATAATTTTCAAGAAAATGGACAGATTTTTAGATAATAAATAACACATTCGCAATCATAGGTTCATCATGTACGATATCAAATGTTTTAAAGATTACCAGAACTTTTTACAGAAAAGCCTTTATACAAAGTTATCAAAAAACTAGTTTTAGCTCATACTCTCGGGAACTTCTCACGGCTGTAATTTAAACAAAAAAGCGGAAATATCCTGCAGGTAATAGTAAATGATTAGATAAATTTCAGTTAAAAAAGTATGTTTTGGGTTGCAGAGACCATTGTCTAAGCGTTCAAGATCTAGAAATAATATGTATACCTACATGCTTATAAAGTTCAGTTCATTTTTTAAATAACTATTTTAAAACACAAATGTTAATCAAACAATGCTTACCACCCATTCCGATTGCTGGTAGTGGTGCTGGCATACCCAATCCTAGTCCACCTAAAAAGAGAAAGCTAATTAATACCGAAATATTCATCGCATCATCCCTTTTAATCGCTCCTTTTAGCACATGGACACCAATACATCAAAGACTTCAAGATTGGTAGAAAGATGATACGGAACCAATTCTATTGAAGATCAGTTCGTTAGAAGAAATATGTTAAGATCCGATTTATATTTCAGTAGTAAATTATGTGTTTAGATCTTAGACATATTCAGTTTCGAGTAGATACACGTACTAACTTGGGGCATAAACGGCATACCGCTCGAGATTGAAACACCACTGCCATAATTAGAGAGTCCTCCGAAGTCAATTGAAACTTCTTTTTCAATGACAAGCAAGAGAAGACTCAGACAGTCAAATGCTTTGATTTTCTCTTACTATAGCCATCTCTACCTCACAGCAATGGAAGTTCGTCAAAAAATACTAAAACTGAATCATACCTCCGCCAAGTGCCAGTCCTCCGCCGAAACCTGAAGAGAAAAAGAATTATAACAAATTGAAACTTCTGTTTGAGTGTCGAGGAAAAGAAGCCTCAGACAGTCAAATGCTCTGATTCAGTTTCGAGTAGATACACGTACCACCTTGGGGCATAAACGGCATACCGCCCGAGATTGGAACACCACCGCCATAACTAGAGAGTCCTCCGAAGCCACCTCCCAATGCAGGCACACCACCACCAAATCCGCCTATCATACCTGAACTAAATCCACCTACGCCAATTAATAAATTAAAAACATTTTAACATATGTGAGCAATGTGTGTACACGTTTTCACTCGTCAGTAGTAGCCGCCAGAACGTGAAGTACAAACTAGAATCTTACCTAATCCTCCACCGAAACCTAAAGAGAAAGAACGAAAATTAGACGAGAAATACGTTTTGTGTGATTGATGCTAGCGAAGTTTGGAAATTAAAGCGTAAATTTGGCAAACGAACTTCAATCATACCTCCGCCAAGTGGCAGTCCTCCGCCGAAACCTAAACGGAAAAAGAATTAAAGCAATTGAAACTTCTGTTTGAGTGTCAAGAAAGAGAAGACTCAGACAGTCAAATGCTTTGATTTCCTCTTACTATAGCGATCTCTACCTCACAGTACCACAAGTTCGTCAAAAAATAGTAAACTTGATTCATACCTCCACCAAGTGGCAGTCCTCCGCCGAAACCTGAAGAGAAAAAGAATTATAACAAATTGAAACTTCCGTTTGAGTGTCAAAAAAGAGAAGACTCAGACAGTCAAATGCTTTGGTTTTCTATTACTCCAGCGATCTCTACCTCACAGCAGCACAAGTTTGTCAAAAAATAGTAAACTTGATTCATACCTCCACCAAGTGGCAGTCCTCCGCCGAAACCTGAAGAGAAAAAGAATTATAACAAATTGAAACGTCTGTTGAGTGTCACGGAAGAAAAGATTCAGACAGTCAAATGCTTTGATTTTCTATTACTCCAGCAACCTGTACCTCACAGCACCACAAGTTCGTCAAAAAAATACTAAGATTGAATCATACCTCCGCCAAGTGGCAGTCCTCCGCCGAAACCTGAAGAGAAAAAGAATTATAACAAATTGAAACGTCTGTTGAGTGTCACGGAAGAAAAGATTCAGACAGTCAAATGCTTTGATTTTCTGTTACTCCAGCAATCTGTACCTCACAACAGCACAAGTTTGTTAAAAAATAGTAAACGTCAGTCATACCTCCGCCAAGTGGCATTCCTCCGCCGAAACCTAAACGGAAAAAGAATTAAAACAATTGAATAATTTCCAAAGAAGCTGCTCGTGCCTCATGTCACCCAAGCCCGCGATAGGAAAAAAGAGACTAATAATTTACTCAATCTGACGTAAAAAATAAAATAATGTTGTTTTCTCTGACTCTAGCTTCTCCTAGCTTAGAGCGGCACAAGTTAGTCAAAAAATAGTAAACTTGATTCATACCTCCGCCAAGTGGCAGTCCTCCGCCGAAACCTAAACGGAAAAAGAATTGAAACAACCGAAACTTCTGCGTGAGTGTGAGAAAGATAAGACTCAGACAGTCAAATCCTTTGATTTTCTCTTACTATAGCGATCTCTACCTCACAGCAGCACAAGTTTGTCAAAAAATAGTAAACTTGATTCATACCTCCACCAAGTGGCAGTCCTCCGCCGAAACCTAAACGGAAAAGGAATTAAAACAATCGAAACTTTCGTAGAAGTGTCAAGGAATAGAAGACTCAGACAGTCAAATCCTTTGATTTTCTCTTACTATAGCGATCTCTACCTCACAGTACCACAAGTTTGTCAAAAAATAGTAAACTTGATTCATACCTCCACCAAGTGGCAGTCCTCCGCCGAAACCTGAAGAGAAAAAGAATTATAACAAATTGAAACGTCTGTTGAGTGTCACGGAAGAAAAGATTCAGACAGTCAAATGCTTTGATTTTCTATTACTCCAGCAACCTGTACCTCACAGCACCACAAGTTCGTCAAAAAAATACTAAGATTGAATCATACCTCCGCCAAGTGGCAGTCCTCCGCCGAAACCTGAAGAGAAAAAGAATTATAACAAATTGAAACGTCTGTTGAGTGTCACGGAAGAAAAGATTCAGACAGTCAAATGCTTTGATTTTCTATTACTCCAGCAACCTGTACCTCACAGCACCACAAGTTCGTCAAAAAAATACTAAGATTGAATCATACCTCCGCCAAGTGGCAGTCCTCCGCCGAAACCTGAAGAGAAAAAGAATTATAACAAATTGAAACGTCTGTTGAGTGTCACGGAAGAAAAGATTCAGACAGTCAAATGCTTTGATTTTCTGTTACTCCAGCAATCTGTACCTCACAACAGCACAAGTTTGTTAAAAAATAGTAAACGTCAGTCATACCTCCGCCAAGTGGCATTCCTCCACCGAAACCTAAACGGAAAAAGAATTAAAACAACCGAAACTTCTGCGTGAGTGTAAGAAAGATAAGACTCAGACTGTCAAATCCTTTGATTTTCTCTTACTACAGCGATCTCTACCTCACAGCAGCACAAGTTTGTCGAAAAATAGTAAAATTGAATCATACCTCCGCCAAGTGGCAGTCCTCCGCCGAAACCTGAAGAGAAAAAGAATTATAACAAATTGAAACGTCTGTGTGAGTGTCACGGAAGAAAAGACCCAGACAGTCAAATGCTTTGATTTTCTGTTACTCCAGCAACCTGTACCTCACAGCAGCACAAGTTTGTTAAAAAATAGTAAACGTCAGTCATACCTCCGCCAAGTGGCATTCCTCCGCCGAAACCTAAACGGAAAAGAATTAAAATAATTGAATAATTTCAAAAGAAGCTGCTCGTGCCTCATGTCACCCAACCCCGCGATAGGAAAAAAGAGACTAATAATTTACTCAATCTGACGTAAAAAATAAAATAATGTTGTTTTCTCTGACTCTAGCTTCTCGTAGCTTAGAGCGGCATAAGTTGGTCAAAAAATAGTAAAGCTGAATCATACCTCCGCCAAATGGTGATCCTCCGAGACCTAAAGAGAAAAGCAATTAGTATTGCAACAGTCATGGAGGAATTTGAAAACAACTCACCTCCTAATGCGCCCAGCATAGGTACACCGGCGCCATAGCTAGCTAAACCACCGCCCAGTCCACCGCCTAGTCCACCGCCTAGTCCACCACCGCAACATCCTCCTCCTATTGCATAAATATGTATAATTATAACAAGTGAAAATCTAAAATTTTCTAGTATTTGAATATTTTGCTGACGTTAAGGAGTTGATTACTACACAAAACGCTACAAAGAAAGTTGTTAGGAAATTCATAGGTCTCTCGCTAGCGCCGTGCCATATTCTCACAATCAGAATAGCATCAACAGCCATTCCCCTACTTGCATCACTGGAATGATTTATCAACGACTTTATTCATTTTTATAACCGAACAGTTGATCCAGAACAGAGATAAGCGGTAAACAGTAGCGCAAAACTGCGGAGAAGAGGGGCTCTAAATCCATCCTCAGTGTTCTCAGATACGATAGACGCAAAAACAAATAAGCATACGATGGAAGGCTCGCATACAAAAAATAGTCTCTTCGTTGTTAGGTCGACTTTCTTTTTCCTTTTCCTGTTTATAAGTTCATTATTGCTAAACGAATTTTGTATTTTCCGTGGGAAATGTGTATATAGGTTTTCACTCGTCAGTAGTAGCCGGCAGAATTTGAAGCATAAACTAGAATCTTACCTAATCCTCCACCGAAACCTAAACGGAAAAAACAGGAGTTAAGTATAGCTGGTTTTATTAAGAAGTATTTGCTGCCTGTCAAATGCGAGAATAGTAAAACTAAAAACTTACCACCTCCTAAACCACCCATGCCGCCTCCGAAACCGCCCAAGCCGCCGCCGAAACCACCCATGCCGCCTCCGAAACCACCCATGCCGCCTCCGAAACCGCCCAAGCCGCCTCCGAAACCGCCCAAGCCGCCTCCGAAACCGCCCATACCGCCTCCGAAACCGCCCATACCGCCTCCGAAACCACCCATACCACAGCTAAAATGTTGGAGATATCTGTTACAAAGATCAATTTCGATAGAAAATCAAAGTTTCCGCTTCTTCAGAACGCTCCCTCAATAGACCGTGGCAATTTTGGACACAATTTTCAAGCTAATTTTTAGAGTTCTGTCCTTCACTGAACGTCGTAAAAGTATTAAATGACACAAAAAGCGTACTCATTAAGCTTTGAACGTTAAAATGTGAATGTAGTTTTAGTAGTTTTTCGATATCCGTTTGTATAAATAAACTTACCATGGAGACTGAGGTATAGGCATCGGTGCGGGCATTCCACCACCGCAACTAAATAAAAAGAAAACGTTTTACTTCTTACTTTAAATTCCATGTGTATTGATTTATCATTTTTCAATCTCATAGTGAATAGAAAATTTGAATTCATCGGTAGTACTGAATATTATTAATTTCCAGTAAAAAGTCGACTCGTTCTCTCTGGAATAGCTTTCTCTTATATAGAAATCTTTTTTTCTAGTATTTAACCGTAGCGATTGTTTTAGCAATCGAAAATGCTCAAAAAGTTTACTTTCTTCCTTTGATACAGTGCACTTTTCAATTTTAGATCAACGGTTATATTGATGATGCTCTTACCATGGCATTGATATTGGAGCTGATGCTTGTGGAATAAAGATGGCTCTGATTTTAGGTGGTATTCCACCAAATCCACCTAACCCATAGTTGCCAAGACCTCCCCCATACGGACCTAGTGCTCCCAGTCCACCATAGCCACTCCCAATTGGTGGCAATGGTCCCGCGGGTACAACTGCTGTTGTCACATAACCAGTACTATATCCTCCACCATAATTTGTATAGGATCCCCCACCATAGGGATCGTATCCATATCCACCGGTATAACCTGATCCTCCTCCGTAGTACGGATCGTATTGTCCACCATAATAACCCATACCATAAGGATCGACACCGTAACCGGCACCTGGAGCATAACTGGATCCATAGGCACCAAGACCTTGCTGCTGGTTTCTACTACTTCGACTTCCCATGTTTTACGGCTATGCGTGTGTGCTAATAATGCTAAACTAGAAATTAAGTTGTGTGTTGACTGGACTTTTGGTAGTTGTCTGAAAAAGCGTAAATGAGAAAATTTCCTAATTACTAGTAAGTCACAACACGAGTGATAAATAAAGTATTAATCCCCTCGTTTTTGTGTAATCATATATCCAATATTAAGTTGAGTATTAAAAAGATATGTAAATTAGCCTCTTACCTTTAAGTACTCCGATCTCGAGTAATCGTAATAATACGAGTGAACTCTAATTTATAAGCTACTTTACCTATTTTCTGGCGAAGAAAAGATAGATTTTTTTCGGATTTTTTTCGGAAAAAAAAACCAAAGAGGTAAACGAAAGGGAGACCGTTGTGGGCGGGGATAGTATTCACGAACATCTTTCTCTCATCTAAGGACGGCTAATACAATTGGTTTATCATTTTTATCGATCAGTGACGCGTAAAAAGAAACATGAAGCCAGTTTTACATTTTTTGAAAAAAAACGATCAAGATAATTCGCGTCTTCGGCCGTTTTTAACAGAGAGAGGGAATATATGTTTACATTTATCATTAAGAGAGCAAGAAACAAGAAAAAAAATCGATATATCTACTGGTAGTATAGACCAGCAACCTTGTTCTTATTGGAAATGAATTGGTTGGTGATTATTATGCACTTATTTTCAAGGTGTATAATGAGAAAGAGGAGAGAAAAATGAAATTTATAGCATAACCACAGACAAAAATATCACCACATATACGTTTGGTTAGCGAAAAAAAAAAGCCGATAAATCAATACCACTAACTTGTGTGTATGTGTGTGTGTGTGTGTGTTTATGAATATAATACTTCAAGCCAAGGAGATAGATAGCCTATTAACTCACTATGTGCATAGTACAAATAAGGGATTTCTGTTCCATGAACGAACTGATATGAATATTCTGACAGGAAGTTTGACTATGAATATACGCTTGGAGAATATATGGTAGACATAATGCAAAATAAGAGTGAAAGTTATCCAGTTTCATCAATAAGTATTATCTTGTTACATTGTTCTATGTCACTGGAATTTTTTCAAATTTTACTAATTGATGATGGTAAAGAGTGAATTGTCTCAACATTTATAATAGCCACGGTCAAGGTACCAAACAAGCAAAACATGTGTCAACTATGGTGCACAGCTGCAGAAGAACTTCGTGGATTCAGGTTTTAACAGACAAAACTGTCAGTCTAGACGGATAAAGATCCAGACAGTTTCAGTCTATGGTCTAGTATCATGCGACGTTAAAAACATATAAAAAAGAGAGAATTAATCTCAACTCGTCGACAATGAATCAGATGAATTTATGGGTGGAAGGTACTCTGATTGCTTTCACTGATATCCAAATTGGTGTGTAAATTGAATTCCAAAAAATATTATTAGGTTAACAGGCGATACTCGAAGTCAAACAATACATATCGAGCGCATCGAATACAAAACAAAACGCTCATATGCTGACAAAAACAAGTGAAGAATTTAGTTAATTAATGTAATTAATTTGACATTATATATAAGAGGTAATGCATTTTTATACATTTCTCACTCGAATTCTTTTTTTCTCTTCCTTTATATTTTTCTTTAAAATGCGCTAAATTTTTAAGGGGCAAAAACCATATAGAGACTTTCCTTGTCTTCAATGCTCTCCTTACCTAATCCAGTTTTCTCCCATGTAATTTATTTTACTTTTTGTTGTTCAAGGCGTTGGCTGCCGCTCTGATGTGAAAAGTAATAATCTCACCATGATTGAGATGCAACCGTTCCAAAATTCTTAGAACGGAGACGGTACTGTTCAGAAAATTCTCTACCAGAACGGCAAGGTCGTTCTAAATTTTCTATTTTTTCATAGTGAAAGACTAATTTTATTCAAGAAAAAGCTCAAAATGACTCTAGTTAAAAGTTTTTTTAGAGCGACTGTTCTAAAAAGTCTTACCGGAACGGCTTGGCCGTTCACCGTTATCGGTTATAACTCTACACCACGAATATTATCCAATTCTTTACCATTCATTACGAATGAGCGTATACGACATTTTTTTAATGATGGAGCGTAAGAGAAATTTCGGCAGTGCTTGTTAAACGAGAAACTGTCATATTTTTGTTGCCAGCACAAAAGATAAGAATCATACAGAAAACGACATACAATATAATGTATGACAGTCACCTTATTGTTTTTATTTCGAATGAATGACTGTTAAGATAGTGACGTAGCCACCGGGTGGTCTGAGGTGGGCTCAGCCTATCCACTAATTGGTTTTGCCCATTCACTAAAAGTTTTATAATTCATACTACTCTGCGTTAATGTCTACCATTTTGAAAACAATTTGAGGCAATGCCCATCCACTAACAAAATCCTGGCTACGCCACTATGTTAAGAATCAAAACTATTTTCAAGAAATGTGATATTTAGTAGTATTCATGCATTTTCTTATTTACATAATGATAATTACGGACAATTGTGTAATTGTTAATAGTTATAACGTTGTGCTTATATCTTCGAGGATATAAACTACATACCTCAATTCATTAACCTATCATCGATGATAATCTGCAAGAATATGACTAACATTTCTCGATGTGACTGGTTGTAAGAATATGTCATACAGATTAATGCTCTCCGAAACAAATTACTAAGCTTACAAGATGATAGTCTATACTGTCCATTCGATAAATTCATCTCTATCAAAATGAGTTTTACCAGATTCGAACAGTGCGTCATAGGTGAGATCGTTTTAATTATTAATATCAACTGAATAAATAACACATGCATTAAATCTGATAAAATAACTGTCATTGTCATTCATTTATTAAATTATCTTTAATTTCATGTGAAGTATAAGGCATCAAGATTTCTGATATTAATTTATAAACACAAACTGATTTGTGGCGCAAACTTAATTAAGATTAGATCGAATTTGAGAAAAGACTATAATGAAAATATTTTGATTAAAAATTAAAATAAGTGACTTTTGATTTGTAACATTGTTGTTTTTTTGTTTCTTCGCTGATCAATGATTATTTATCGTCTTATAATTGTTAATATATTTAACGTTGTGAAATTTATTAAAATTATATTAAAAGAAGTTCACCAATACTGAAGTAATAAAAAATTCTGAAAGACTTTGTAAACTGTTGTTTAAAATATAATATGTGATGAAATAAGAAATAGTTTGAAACAGTACTAGTTTTTATGAATATAATCTATAATACGTTTGATTTCAACAATACTTTTGTGATATCAAACACGTTGTCTCTTCTCTCGTACAATAGTACGAGCTATTGATCGACAGAGTTAAACGTTTAAAGTGATAAACTATATTTATTTCAAAATAGATATATGCAATCTGATCAGACGGTTAGATACAGATTAAATTATAAAACTTTACTCGAAGAAAACTGATAATACTGAATTGATTAAGTGAAAAAATGAAATAGACAATTGCTGTGAAGATCATAATGATAATAAAATGTTATTTTGATGTGTTTAATTCCGATCATTTTTCTCAGACTAAAGCGAATTAAAGATGTATGGATTTTACGTATTTTTGATGTTTTAGTAAATAGATTTTTAATATGTTCAGATAGTATTGCTCAAAATGACGGTGTGATATTATATAACAGTCAATATGGATAATATTCAATATTATATTTCCATTTCTATTCTGAAGATACAAAATAAATAATATTTTCTAAAATAACGAAAATACACCAATCCTGTACTTGCACAATCAACTGTAATCTAAGAATTCAATTATTCAGTTTCTCTTATGCTTCATTTGTAGTAATAATATATGGGTTTTTTTTTCAAAAACGTATTCTTCCAATACTGACATGTAGTTCTATATAATTTTCTTCTTTATATCTTTTGCAGTTTTGAGCATAAGTTATATAGAAAAGTCATATCTGTGCATATCTCTATTTCAAAATAAAAATCAAAAAATTTTTTTTCACCTTGTTGTGAAAGCCGCTATTTTTTTTCACCACTGATCTTTTGTGAAAGCCGCTATTTCTTTGCCTTGAGTATTTTTGGACTATATATGAGTTATGCAGAGTAGACTGCCACTGAGTTCGTGTTACCGTTATTGAGTTACATGTTAATTATATTGCCATTCTCATTAGTTTCTTAGTTTTATTTCTATCGGCACATATTTCTAAACATTAGTTTTGTATCAATGTAATTTTTTTTAATACTTCTTTTTACATATGATTAACTAAAACGATAATCTGTAATTAATAGTTTTTGTTCATCATCTACTTTCTATTTTATTACTGTTCAGCTTTGAAAATGATCGCGTAGAATCAAATATCATAATTATTGATGATTAAATTAAAATTGATCGCATTAGCCATTAAGTTGTTCTATCAAATGGTTTCATGTTATGTAGAATGAGAAAATAAAATAAGTCGAGAATTGTGATCGGTACTAGTACATTCAATCCAATCTACCATTTATAGTTCGAAATAAAAACACAATTGGAAGATTCTTTGCACAGAAGAACGAATTTCTTATTTCTGAAATATCATCTTTTCCAAATATACATGGTTTCTAATCAGCTTAACAAACTTCTACATGAAACTATTAATATAGTCTATGATTCTAACAGTTTCCGTTTAAATTTGAGTGAATAACGATGGAGTTGTAATACATTACAACGACAGGATTCCATCAGATATAGTCGTGCAATAAACTAACTTTTATTTATGGTTGAGTCTGTTGACCCTGAGACAGAGGTAAATCTACCAAAGCCTTGTTCTATATACTTTAAATTTCTTTTTACTTTTTCTCAAAACATTAGATTGAAAACGAGAATCATATTTTATTATTGTTCTTTACGTATAAATTTATTCATCAAAAATTGATACTGTGTTAATGGTATGTCGTAAAATACCTAAAAATATTACTGATCAACTATAATCGAGACATATACATTTCAACTTATTAGAAAACAAAAAAAATCTTAGAAACATTTTTGTTTTAAAATAATCAATGAATTTAAGCAACATTTTTACGTATGATCATTACTAAATACTACAACATTTTATATAGTATATGGAGAATCGTATTATGTTACTAGGAAATGTTCGAAAAAACCGCAAATTAAAACATAGTTAATATCAGCTAATCATCAATTTGTTCTGCCTGCATACAATTATTTGTTCCAGTATAAATGAAACTATACAATTTTTCACCTTCAGTCCAAGAGTACCGCATCTTTTTTTTCATTAAACGGTTAGCATGCAGGCAAGTTACGAAAAGATATATACGTGTGTGTACATGTGTGTTGTAATCTTTGTTGTGTTTGATGGCTGTGATAGTAAGAGCAAAAACGTAGTTGTTATGCTTGGCTGCTTTACCCACCATACACATTTTCAGATTTCTCACTTTACCTTGGTTTTTCTCTATTTTACAAACTAAAAATCGATCACACAAACAACAATGAGTGAGAAGCACGCATAAAAAAATATAATAAAAAGGCGATTGTATTGATCGATCATCAAATTTTGGATTTTTTCGCTTCTTCTTCTACTACTTTTGTATTCTACATCATTAACACGAGTTAAAGGGTTTACCGCACGTATATAATAAAGAACGTAGACCGCGGTTAGTGATAATAACACACTATTTGTGATATTTCCGCATCTGTCTTTCATTTTCAATTGCTGTCACAAAGGTATTGTTTAATAAATAAATAGTTAGGTGTGTTGATTTAAACTATGTTATTCGTGAGTACATTTTATGAGTACTTTTTCTATAGATTTAAATGGGTAATCGAGGTGCAAGAAATACGGGTTATGCTCCATATGGAGACCCATATTTGGATCAGTATGTTTTTGCCTAGTTTAGAATATAAAAGATGATCATTAAAACATTCATTTTCTTTTAGGTATGGAGCTGGATATTATCCAGGTGGAGCAGCGGTGAGTGTCTATTTTTACTTATATGGTCGTTTTTCTACTAAAAATAATTGATATATCACTATTCCGTTTAACCTTTGCTTAGAAAAGTTCACTCAATATTTGAATATTTCAGCCTGGCCTGGGCGGTTATGGTGGTGGCTACGATCCATATGGTGGTAAGATAATGATATAATTACGATTTTATTTAATATTGTTACATTTTTGCTTCATCTATTTTTTCAATCTTGTTTATTTTTAGGCTATGGTGGTATGAGTCCCTACGGATATATAACTACTCCCGGTGCAATTATCGAAGAACCTTGGCAAACAACGCAATGGAATGAATATTATGTACCAACTCCGGCTCGGCCCGTTGCAGGTGGCCGTCGCTCTCGACCTGTTATTTATGTAGCTGTTCCAATGCCAGCAGCAAATCCATGTGCTGGATTTGGCGGTGGATTTGGAGGAGGACTTGGTGGATTCGGTGGTGGTTTGGGTGGATTCGGTGGTGGTTTAGGTGGATTCGGAGGTGGTTTAGGCGGAATGAGCGGGTTCGGCGGGGGTCTTCCAGGCGGGTTCGGGGGACTAGGAGGAGGCTTTGGGGGAGGAGGCTTTGGTGGAATGGGAGGATATCAGGTACTAAAGCTTTTATGGTGTGTCATCAAGTGACTTCACATAAATTTTCTTTTCACATTTAGGTATTGCCCATGATGACTGTTGGGTTTGGTGGATTTGCAGGACAAAATTTGGGTTACTCACCTTTGGGTGGCGGTTTACCGTTATATTAACTTTATTCGCAATAAAACTATGAATAATCACAAAAATATCGTTTAACAAACAATTAAAAACGCTTATAAAATATGTAAGTTTTTCGTTGTATTAATCATTACGTATATGTTTGTATAGAGTATGATATGATCACTTTCAATACCGCTATTGATATATCGGGATTTCTTTTTTTACCCTTTCCAATATCGAAATCAAAAGATATTATGCTAATAGATTCATTATTAGGCAATTTTATTGATCGATGTTGTTTACTAATTATATACAGATAAAGAAGAGTATCCTGTTTTAAATAGCTTTTTTCTAATTTTTTATTTAATGTTGTTGTAACTGCATTTAGCAGTTAGATAAATATTGAACTGTAGTGTGCTCTGTGCATGTGTATTTTTTATCGATTTTTATCATTTTTTTACTATTTTTTCGTTGTTTTAAAATGAATAAAATAATGTAGATTATTATGAAATAACTTTCGTATATTAGCACGCGCTGATCGTAGACCTGCCACTCAAATTTAGATATTCTATCTAGTATGTTTCGTACAGTAGTTATTACCATTGCTTTTGCTGTTAGCTATTGTTAAATTTTTAACACATTCACATCAACCAGTCCAGTGTATATCAGTATTAGGAGTACCACCATAGCACAGCTCTTGCCTTCTATCTTAAACTATCAGAAGTGCAACAAAACCAACAACTGTGATTGAACATTGAACTAGTGAATTGACATCAGATTATCATCATATTGCTATCACTTTGAAAGCACAATTTTATTTATTATAATCAAAAACAGAAACGTTATCTTTTTTTATGAAGACACGGTGTCAGTGTTATAATTGGGTGTGATTGAATTTTATTTGAAATTTTAATAAAATCAAAAGTATAGAAATATATTGTTGGTAGTTTTTGTTTACTTTTCTTCTTCTTCATTCCTCCTTCTACTTGTCCATCATTACCAATATCATTAATCGTTGTATTTGTTTTTGAACACTGAAAACCAATTGATTCAATTTTTCTAATAAATTTGTTAACATTATCAAATCGACTAGCTATTTCAATAATTTTCATCATACCACGTAATTTTAATATACGAAATGCTTCAAATATATATTCATTCATATTTGTACCCATAAGAGATAGACAGAATATGACAATGTCAATTGTTTCATTTTCCAATGGTGTATGACAAATATCACATTCATGAACATGTTCATTTAATGCAATTAAATCAAAACTGTACACTTTATTTTTCACACTTTGAGCTAATTGTGCTGTACCACAACCCATATCGGCAATAACTAATTTAGATGATCGTTTATTTACATATTTAATAATGTCATTTAACGGATTATTCGGCCACTTCTTCATACTATCGTCAAACCCACGATGATATGCATAAAATGCTTGTGGATCAGACTTAAATAATTCTTCAGCTTGAGAACTTGTTGAACGATAGAGTTGTTCATTTAAATAACGAAAACGTGATGATGACATGTGTGCTAATAATTTATCACAAGCAGATAGTTTAGCTGGTTTTTCATCGATGCTAACGTTACTCTGTTGTTGTTGTTTCTTTAGCTTTTTCGGTTGAACAACATCTTTGATATCATCATCAAGTTTTCTCTTTTTCGGCTTTTCTTGTGGTTGTTGTTGTTTCTTTAGCTTTTCCGGTTGAACAACATCTTTGATATCATCATTAAGTTTTCTCTTTTTCGGCTTTTCTTGTGGTTGCGATTGTCCTTGTTTATATTTAATATGATCTTTTTCAACAGTTAAAAATTCTGGATGATTTTTTAAAAAATATTTATTCTTTTTACTTTTCTTTGGTATCAACATTGACGATGATCTCATCTCATTTGCTATGTGATTTTTTAAACTTTTTTCATTGAATTCTTTTTTATCGTCATTATCATCTTCATTATCTGATCCTTGCAATAATTGATTGTATCTCTGTTCACTGACATTATCCTTGCGTGGAACACGTTCATGACTTTTGACATTTTTTCGTCGAACAACTTTTTTTCCATCTAACAATGATGAATTAGCATGATTCAATATTCTATCGACAATCCATTTGTGTTTATTCGTTCGCCTTTTATGTGGCATCTGAAAAATCCATAAATTCGCCGTAGTTTCAAAAATGATCAGATCTGTACTAGTAGATTGAGACGAATATTTCTCTTCCCTATAAAAATGCATAATTAGCTTTAATAAATATAAAATCTCTTTTGTAAAACTCAAGAGTCTATTTCATCTTTTTTGAATGTCAAGAATAATGTTTAAAAAAGCACACATTTTTAGGAGATATTCGAGGACATTAACTATTCCAAGAAATTTCACCAATCAATAGAAACTAATATTTTTGTTTTAATCAAGAAATATATGTAAAATATGAACTTAATACTATTGACTAACTTCACTTTGCTACAGTAGAAAAAAGATTCTAGGACACAGGGCTATAGGTAATATGATAAAATCAAAAAATGGTAAATAACTAAGAAAAATTCTTCGAATTTGATCTATCAGAGCTGTTAATTAATATATTTTCTACCATTTTACGTTCTTCTATTAGATTTCTGAAATAATATAATGCATTTAATTATATAAATATGTAGAAGCAATATTATAGAGATTTCAGTTCAATGTCTCACAAAACTGCGAGAAATTTCTAATTTTTTATGATAATATTGTTGATTTATACACAGTTCAACATCATACACTTTAACTTTTTCAATTTTCAATTGTTGATTAGCAAAAATAATGTTTTCTACTATACGTATAACTCTAAGCTATTCTCTGCTATTATTTAGATTCACATAATGATAGAACACATTTTTTTCCTAGGCACACGATTTATCTTCATATAGTTAAAATTTGTGTCTCTATTACATTATTTGAATAGGGGTACAAAAAAAAAAAGAAACCTCAAAATATAATCATTGATGCGTTAACAAAGTGACAGTTTATACCGTTACTATACATGTTTTTAATCAAAAAAATATGTAATAATTTTTTGGTGGCTTTTTCTTTTTATATCTCTCATCTAACCGCAAGATAAAAGTGAAAAGGTACAATTTGATAAACATATCTATGACACATGTTTGTTTCTTCATTTTGTACCTGTCCTTGATAAAGACAAAATAATTTTCCTTTCTTCATACAAGGTTTCAACATTGTACAATTTCAAAAGCTAAGATCTTCAACAAGTATTTGTATTAGGTTTGAAAAATGATTATGTCTGACGTTTGGCAAAATGATATACGGTAATATAATTTTGTTTCAATGCGTCTACATCTATTATACTATTAAAGACCATCTTTTCTTTTTGAAATAAATATTATCGACCTTTACAGTCACAAGGGCAAACTTGGCAAGGTATCAAATCATTAGCAGTCGGCGACGATGCTCATAATCGTATTTAACATTTTTTCATTGAATAACAAATATTTTACTAAAGAAGAGTAACACAAACAAATGATTAATTGTTCAACATGGACTAGTATTGAAATTCATTGAATTCAATGCTACTAAATACTAAAACATATATTATTGCTCAAGGCTAAACTAAACAAAAAATTTAGTTAACCGTAGCTCTACTTAAAAACAAAAAATAGTTGAAGGTGCGGTTTAATCATACACACACACACACACATACACACAACACTACCATTAACCCATAGTATTGATGGATATACTAGTACACAGTTAAAATATTTTCGGACAATATAATCGCCAAATATTATAGGAACTATTGACAAGTTTTTATCCATCCGATAAGAATGAAAGACATTGATGTCTCTTGAACAAATGATAGTATTGTTGCTTTTTCAACATTTCAACAAAAAATCCTTTGGGCTTCTGCTCGACTACAATCAGTGCGAAAAATGTATTTTCTTTGTAGAATCAATTTATATTTAATTACATAGACGCAGTTACAAGTGTATCAAGAGAACATTTCGTGTGACCGATTATATAAGCGGCTGTATCTTAGTGCAAGTTGTCTGTAACAATAAAATAAAGAATAAAAAGGCGAAGGATATAAGATCTAGATATTTCATTCTTCGACATCTAATTATCTACTGTAGATGGAAGTCTCACTAGAATTCTTTGAACTTCTTCTGTTACAAAAAGCTTTGATTTAGAAGGAAAACAGAAACGTATAGTACAGGGCCGGAAAAAATGTTTTTCCAGGGGGGTACCGCTAAAACTGCAAATGATATCACAGAATATTATATACCAAATTAATGCCCAATAAAAATGAAATTTATGAGTATAATTGATAGCCCATACAATGGTTATTGGCTATTGAATTATGAAAATCTCTTGAACCCTGTGGTTGAACGCGCTTGTGTTTTACGATTTTCATTCTTCTGGTACATATTTTGACAAAAATAATAGCAGTTTTAGCGGTACCCCCCTGGAAAAACATTTTTTCCGGCCCT